TTGGGGACCCCGACTCTCCGCCCAGCCAGCGAGTCCCCAGGCGCCGCCCGAGAGCCTGAGAGGCAGCAGCCGCGGGCAGCCGGGCCAGGAGGCGGCCACCGCTGCCGCTGGGCATCCTCTGGGGCCCTAGAGCGTGGAGGGCGCTGCGCACGCCTCGGCGCGGCCCCCCGCCGGCCTCTCCGAACCTTCCCCACCTCCTGGGCCCAAGGGACACGGGCTCGAGAAGACGAGCTGGGGTAGAGGGAGCCGCCCCCGCCTGCGCCCTCTCTGCTCCCCCCTGAGCCCCTTTGCACCGGGCTGGGCAGCACGGCCTGAAGTGCCCGCGATGGCGAGCCCGCCGCTGCACGGCCCCCCCGGGCCGGCGGGCAGCGACGGCCCCAACCTCAACAACAACAACAACAACAACAACCACAGCGTGCGCAAGTGCGGCTACCTGCGCAAGCAGAAGCACGGCCACAAACGCTTTTTCGTGCTGCGCGGGCCCGGCGCGAGCGGCGAGGAGGCGACAGCGGGTGGCGGTCCAGCACCGCAGCCTCCGCGGCTCGAGTACTACGAGAGCGAGAAGAAGTGGCGGAGCAAAGCGGGCGCCCCGAAGCGGGTCATCTCGCTCGACTGCTGCCTGAACATCAACAAGCGCGCCGACGCCAAGCACAAGTACCTGATCGCCCTCTACACCAAGGACGAGTACTTTGCCGTGGCGGCCGAGAACGAGCAGGAGCAGGAGGGCTGGTACCGCGCGCTCACCGACCTGGTCAGCGAGGGCCGCACTGGTGCCGGCGACTCGACCCCCTCCTCCATCACCACCGGGTCCTGCAGTGCCTCTTTGCCTGGCGCCCTGGGCGGCTCAGCGGGTGCTGATGAGAGCTACGGGCTGGTGGCGCCCGCCACAGCAGTCTACCGCGAGGTATGGCAGGTGAACCTGAAGCCGAAGGGCTTGGGCCAAAGCAAGAACTTGACAGGCGTCTACCGCCTGTGTCTGTCCGCTCGCACTATTGGTTTCGTAAAGCTGAACTGTGAGCAGCCGTCGGTGACGCTGCAGCTCATGAACATCCGCCGCTGCGGCCACTCGGACAGCTTCTTCTTCATCGAGGTGGGCCGCTCAGCTGTCACCGGCCCTGGCGAGCTGTGGATGCAGGCCGACGACTCGGTGGTGGCTCAGAACATCCATGAGACCATCCTGGAGGCCATGAAAGCACTCAAGGAGCTCTTCGAGTTCCGGCCGCGCAGCAAGAGCCAGTCGTCGGGCTCCTCAGCCACACATCCCATTAGTGTCCCCGGCGCTCGCAGGCACCACCACCTGGTCAACCTGCCCCCCAGCCAGACTGGCCTGGTGCGCCGCTCACGCACCGACAGCCTGGCTGCCACCCCGCCGGCTACCAAATGCAGCTCATGCCGGGTGCGCACGGCCAGCGAGGGCGACGGCGGCACGGCTGCGGGAACGGGGGCGGCGGGTGGAAGGCCCGTGTCGGTGGCTGGGAGCCCCCTGAGCCCGGGGCCGGTGCGCGTGCCCCTGAGCCGCTCGCACACCCTGAGCGGTGGCTGCGGTAGCCGTGTGAGCAAGGTGACACTGCCTCCGGCAGGGGGCGCCCTGCAACACAGCCGCTCCATGTCCATGCCCGTGGCGCATTCGCCCCCGGCAGCCACCAGCCCAGGCAGCCTTTCGTCCAGCAGCGGGCATGGTTCGGGCTCCTACCCACTGCCTCCGGGTCCGCACACGCACCTGCAGCATCCTCTGCACCACCACACGAGCCAGCGGCCCTCCAGTGGCAGCGCCTCAGCCTCTGGCTCCCCCAGTGATCCTGGCTTCATGTCCTTGGATGAGTACGGCTCCAGCCCTGGGGATTTGAGGGCCTTCTGCAGCCACAGAAGTAACACACCTGAGTCCATTGCCGAGACGCCCCCGGCCAAGGATGGGAGTGGGAGCGAGCTATACGGGTACATGACCATGGACAGGCCTCTGAGCCACTGTGGCCGCCCCTACCGTCGGGTCTCAGGGGATGGAGCTCAGGACTTGGACAGAGGGCTGAGGAAGAGGACTTACTCCCTGACCACACCTGCTCGGCAGCGGCCGGTGCCCCAGCCCTCCTCTGCATCTCTGGATGAATACACTCTCATGCGGGCCACCTTCTCTGGCAGCTCAGGCCGCCTCTGCCCAACCTGCCCGACATCTTCTCCCAAAGTGGCCTACCACCCTTATCCCGAAGACTACGGCGATATTGAGATTGGGTCCCATAGGAGCTCCAGCAGTAACTTGGGCACGGACGATGGTTACATGCCCATGACCCCTGGCGTGGCCCTCATGGGTGGTGGCAGTGGCAGCTGCAAGAGTGACGACTACATGCCCATGAGCCCCACCAGTGTGTCTGCCCCCAAGCAGATCCTGCAGCCACGGGCTGCTGCTGCTGCAGCCTTGCCCCCCACTGGACCTGCAGTGCCGGCACCCGCCAGTGCGGCAGGCAGGGCCTTTCCAGAGAACGGGGCCAGCTACAAAGCTAGCTCCCCGGCCGAAAGTTCTCCCGAGGACAGTGGATACATGCGCATGTGGTGTGGTTCCAAGCTGTCCATGGAGAACACCGACAGCAAGCTGCTTCCCAACGGGGACTACCTCAACATGTCCCCCAGCGACGCGGGCACTTCAGAGACCCCACCCGACTTCTTCTCAGCAGCCTTGCATGGCGGTGAGATGCTCAAGGGTGTCCCTGGCTACTGCTACAGCTCTTTGCCCCGCTCCTACAAGGCTCCCTACACTTGCAGTGGGGACAATGACCAGTATGTGCTCATGAGCTCCCCCGTGGGGCGCATCCTGGAAGAGGAGAGGCTGGAACCTCAGGCCAGTGTGGCGACCACGCAGTCGGCCAGCGCCCTCGTGGCTGGGGTCGGTGGGATTGGGCACACCCAGCCTCCTCACTCAGCAGTGCCTTCTCCAGGGAGGCTAGGTGGCAGCGGCAGTAGCCGCCCAGAGGGTTTCCTGAACCAGCGTTGCCGGGCAGTGAGGCCCACGCGCCTATCCCTGGAGGGGCTGCAGACCCTACCCAGCATGCACGAGTACCCTCTACCTTCCGAGCCCAAAAGTCCCGGAGAGTATATCAATATTGACTTTGGAGAGTCAGGAGCGCGCTTGTCACCGCCTGCCCCTCCGCTGCTGGCTTCGGCAGCCTCATCCTCTTCGCTGCTGTCTGCCAGCAGCCCAGCCTCTTCCCTGGGCTCTGGCACCCCAGGAACTAGCAGCGACAGCCGGCAACGCTCACCACTCTCTGACTACATGAACCTCGACTTCAGCTCGCCCAAGTCACCCAAACCTGGTACCCAGACTGGTGACCCGGTGGGCTCCTTGGATGCCCTCCTATCTCCCGATGCCTCCTCCCGGTACCCGCCACTGCCCCCACGCCCTGCTGCCCCCTCCTCCTTGAAGTCACAGCCACCTCCCCCACCCTCCCCGGGAGAGTTGTACCGCCTGCCTCCTGCATCCACTTCCCAAGGCCCCAGCGCTGCCTCCTCTTCGTCCTCGGAGACTGGGGACAATGGTGACTACACCGAGATGGCCTTTGGCGTGGCTGCCACCCCGCCACAACCCATCGTGGCCCCCCCAAAGCCAGAAGGTGCCCGTGTGACCAGCCCCACATCTGGCATGAAGAGGCTGAGTCTCATGGATCAGGTGTCTGGAGTTGAGGCCTTTCTGCAGGCTGGCCAGCCCCCAGACCCACATCGGGGGGCCAAGGTCATCCGTGCAGACCCGCAGGGGGGCCGCCGCCGCCACAGCTCTGAGACCTTTTCCTCAACCACCACTGTGACTCCCGTGTCTCCATCCTTTGCCCACAACCCGAAGCGCCACAACTCGGCCTCGGTGGAAAATGTCTCTCTCAGGAAAAGCAGCGAAGGGGGTGGCAGCGGTGTCTTCGGTGGGGGCGATGAGCTCCCTCCATCTCCCCACCAGCTGCAACCACAGCTCACCCAGCAGGCTCGGCCATGGACACCAAGTCAGCCTGGGGGCCTGGTTGGCTGCCCTGGGGGCAGTGGCTCTCCAATGCGCAGGGAGACGTCTGCTGGCTTTCAGAATGGCCTCAACTACATCGCCATCGATGTGAGAGACGAGCCAGGGTCCTCGCCATCCCAGCAGCAACACCCCCAATCGCAGCATCCACATCCCCAGCCAGGCGACAAGAGTGCCTGGGGCCGGACCCGTAGCCTTGGGGGTCTCATCAGCACTGTGGGGGCTGGCAGTGCTGGTGGGGTGTGTGGGGGGCCAGGCCCTGGAGCCCTGCCTTCCAACACCTATGCCAGCATCGACTTCTTGTCCCATCACCTGAAGGAGGCCACCATTGTGAAAGGTGAGACCCTTTGAACTTATGGCTGGCGGGAGGAAGGGAGGGAAAGTGGGTGAGCTTCTGTGGGTTCATTCCTCTTCCCTTTTTTGGTACCTTGACCTAAATGCCAAAAGATTGGCCCTGGCTTCTTGTTTTGTTTTACTTTTGGCTCCTGTGTCCACCTATTTCCCCAAAGACCTTGCCAAAAGCAGTCAAGTCATCTTTGAGTTGAATGTGAAGCTTCCTACTCAGGAGACTACTATTTGCTTTTTGGCCCGACATGTTTCTTCTTTCCCACAGTCCTCTTCCCGTCTGTTAACACTGGACATGCTTCCCCGGTCACCACCCGTAAGAGGTAGCAAATACAGACTTCTTGATCTGAGAGTGGGAAAGTTGTGCTAGGAAGGGCCCTGAACTTCTGACTGCTCTCTGGCTGGTAACCTTCACTTTTTGTTTTCCTGGAACCACACCCCACCTGATTCTTGCTGAGCCTAAAGTTTATAAAAACAGGCCTGAAAGTCACTTAGGAAATGAGCATCCATCTTTTGTGACTGCTAAAAGGAACAATTAACCATTTATAGTTTAAACATAAACTATAGGGGCTCTTCTCTCAGAGACATTCTTTTTTTCCTAAGAGGCTGAAATAGTAATCCTGCTGAAACACAGCTTAAAAGGAGCTCTCAAACTTGAGCTTACCTGGGAGTCACCTGGAGACTCTGCTGAAACCAGAGTGGCTGGGCTGTGTAAAGCCTTAGAGATTCTGATGCAGGGAGTATGCAGCGAGTCTGGGGTGTGGCCCAGAATGTGCTTTTCTAAGTTGTCCAGGGGTTGTGCTAATGCTGCTGGTTGGGGGACCATCCTCTGAGGACCTTGCCCCAGGTTAGACCGGCCTGAGGAGGTTTGAGGAATTACCTATTGGGCCTCACCCCAGACACACTCAAGTAAAGCATCCAGTGGGCAGAGCCCAGATATGAGCATTTTTCAGTTGCCCAGGTAATAATGTGGCACCAGGATTGAGAATCAGTGCTTTAGAGAAGACAAGTGAAGACAGCAACATGGGGCTTTTCAAGAACAATTGGATAAGATGGAGCCCCGTATGTTCTTCACATTCTCATCAAATATCCATGAGGAGAGAGAGACTGCTTGCTTTGCAGCTGGTGGCAGATCCTGTCTCAAACTTTTAATGATGAGAGGGGGGAGAGAGAGAGAAATAAAGGGGTTGAGGGTGTTTAAGCGAGTTTCTTAATTTTGTAGCTGCTTCTGTGCAGGGCTGCTAGTAAGAAAGAGGCTCTGTGGGAACCACAGAGCACATAGTAGTGGATGCCCTCCTCGATGTTTGCCTAAGGTCAGTAGTCTGCATGGGGTTTCAACAAGATGATCAAGGTGGCCTGGGGATCCATATGCCTTTTGTTCTTAAAGTAAACAGACTAGTTTAATGCTGTCTAAATGCAGCATATGTTTGATGATATCCATGGGGTTTAAAATTGTAGCTGTAGGGTAAATGCTCAGTTATTCTAATGTAAAAGAGGAAGAGCTATTTATATTTTTATTAAAACCATATGATAAAAGATAAAAAGAATCACACAATTATCAGGAGTGTGGTGTTTCAGCATCTAATTAAATCATTTGGAAGTCTTGAGAATATGTCCCATAAATGATGAATCTCAGCTGAAAGTCACTTTACCTGGAGTTACAATAAGCACTACAGGTACCCCTGAAAATAATAGCTAGTGTGTCAGAGAGTTAAGGATTAGTTGCCTTTCAAGACACAGACCGTATAAACACAGCAGCATAATTAGAATTATACACTAAAAATACACACACACACACACACACACAAATACTTATTTGGTATGCTCAAATGGGTATATGCCACAGTGAACATGAAAGTACATTTTGCTGAAATCTGATTCTGATCAGAAAAACAGTCTGAGAACATAACACCTTTTACTGCTTTTGGTGGAGTAGGCGGTTAAAACCTGGACTGGATTCAGGAGGGCCCCAGGAGTGGGTTCTTTCAGTAACAGGAGGAGTGAGCTAAAGTGTGCGTCCACAGGCCTGAAAGGATTGGAGGCCTTTTTGAGAACATGGATACATTCAGAAATGTGATTCATGTATGATATAATGCCCTTTTCAGACTGGGGAAAATTTTAAACTGCAAGAGATAAGTTTAGTTAGAGACCCGATTTAGCTTGTTTTGTTTAAGATTTCCCACCAGTATAAAATTCCTTTCAACCTATAGGATTCAGGATTTTGAAATCAAAAAAGCAGTTTGTATGTTTCATGGTGGCTGAACAAAGATGAGAGATCATTTTGGTTGCTGTTTTTCCAAAGTCTGTGGGGGCATGATGGTAAATACCCTTGTAAGAAGGAAAACGGCTCTTTTCAAGCAAAATTGATAAATGCAATTGATCCATTGTGCCAAAACCACATTTTAAAAAAGGGACCACATGCTAAATGGGCTTCTAGTAAACTCGTTTGAACACAGAGAACAGTAGAGTAGGAAACAAGATTGTGTCATCTTAATGTGGAAGCTAAATTGGTCTGTGAAGCCAGGAGAATATTTAGAAACTCAAAGTGAGCATGCACTTTACATCTACCTCGTGTATGCCCAGGGACATTTGTTTGGGGTGCTCGTGAACACAGAGCTCACAGGACATTAGTGTCCTCTGAGAAAATATTGCTGGAAGGAAGACTTACAAAGCATTTCTTTGAAGAGGAAATAAATAAAGAACTTCCTGGGTCACTGTGTGCACTGCCCTGGTTCTCAGAAGTGGCACATGTTTGTTTCCACTTGGAGCTTCTTGGGTTCTGTGTGGAAAAAGTACAGATTAATTTGGGGTCACTTGGGTAGTGTTTGGTATTTGCATAAGTGGTGATGAAGATTAAGGTTCCCGCAGTGTTTGATAGCTGTTTACAAAAGAATTGGGAGTGGAGGCGGGGTTTCAATGCTAAAGCCAATGAAAAGCTAGTACACGTTAGGTTTATGTATATAATATAAATATATTAGTCCAGAGAAAATAAAAATTTAACTCCAAAATATGTATCTCGTTTGGGAGTAGGGAAAGGTTATTTACCATCTGTTTTGTGTGTGTATATGTAGAAAAATCAAACCAATCTGCTAGCGTGTTGTTGAAGTGGAAGTATGTTACTGAATTTACTATTCTTTAAAACTGTTTTTAAAAATTAACTTTTATATATTTTTGTGTTTTGATTACAGACTGATACATATCATAAAATACACTATTTTAATACTCCTTTTTTAGTGGGATTTTTATTCTAAAATTGTTTTTTCGGTGTGTATATGGCAGATTAGATAAGATTGCCACTGAAAGCATCTGTATTTAAATTTTATTTGATAAAAGGGACTGTTTATTCATATCCTATGTGAATGGAATAAGAAATGTTTTTAATGGAACAATAGAGTTATGATTCATGTTTAAAGGTATTGCCTGTTGAAGTCTTAAAGCAAAGAACTTGAATACTTTTAGAACTCCAGTGAGATTGCTTGACAAAGCAATACCCTTTATTTTTTCTGTTTTTGCTGGCCAGCCCTTGTCATAATAAGATGATAATGTGCACTGGTGCTGCTCTTACCCTATTCCCAGGAACAGACAACTAAGGTGCTAATGACAAAGCTGTCATTTAGAATGGAAGGGCAGATAAAGTGCTTCCCAGATAAGGTCAAGTTAAAGGAGTTCATCATCACCAAGCCCTTATTTTATGAAATGTTAAAGGGACGTATCTGAGAAAAAGAAGATCAAAACTATGAACAGTAAAATGGCAACAAACCCACAACTATCAGCTGAACCTAAAAAGACAAAAGCAAACTAAGCAAATAACTAGAACAGGAACAGAATTATTACAAAAACGGAGATCACATGGAGGGTTACCAGCTGGGAGGCGGCGAGGAGGGGAGAAAATAAAGGAAAAGGTACAGGAAATAAGCATAATTGGTAGATAAAAAAAGACAGGGGGAAGTTAAGAATAGTGTAGGAAATGGAGAAGCCAATGAACCTCCATGTACGGCCCATGGACATGAACTAAGGGGGGGATGCTGGTGGGAGTGGAGGTGCAGGGTAGAGGGAAATAAACGGGAGAAAAAAAATGGGACAACTATAATAGCATAATCAATAAAATATACTTAAAAAAGAAAACACACAGAGGCTTTCATGAATGAAAGTCACATGACTTGTTCTATTTCCTTTATTGAAAGAGAAACCTTTACAAAAATAGTACTTTGCAGAAGGAAGCATGCACAGCCTGTGGAACACTAAACCAGAAATCAGGAAACCAGGTTTCTAGTTGCTGATCTTAGTGAGTCATTGTGTGACTAGATGGAAGACATTTAATCCCTTTTCTCACTTTCTCTGTCTGTAAAATGGGATAATTATAAGCCTCTCCCTTCTGTGTCACAGGGTCACTGGGAGGTCCGAGGAATAGTAAACATTAAGAGTGGTTAAGCTCTTCTAAAGAAATGTGCTAATATGTTCAGTGATGCTATTGATACTTACTACCTTGAAACTATGAGCATATATAGGAAAGACACTTTTGTAAATGGTTCTTTTAATTTTAAAAATGGAGCCATTCAATACCTTCTTAAGAAATCTTTGCCTTTTCTGCTTGATTACTGGTTCCACCTCAGTCTCCAAGAACCATTATTTTTTCTCCATCTTTATTTAACCTGAGAATTTTTTCATAGATAATTATCGATTGTAAGGAAGCACTGTTTTAAATTACATAGTAAATTAACAAGGAAAATAGCGTCATAATCCTGAAACTATACTAAGACCATACTTTTGATTTGTTTACATATTAAGAGACATTGTCAAGCCCCGAGTTTCACTCTTTGGGTTGATTTAATTAGGGTGGTCACTGCTGCACTGTTTTGATTTGTTTGGTTGTCAAACACAGCAGGAAAACCTCTAGTGTTTGGTTCTTCTGTTCTTCCACAGACCCCTTCCCCCAAAAAGAAATGTTAATAGATAATTAATGTCTTATGTTCTTTTGAACTGTTAGTATCCAAATGAAGCTCTTTCTGAAGTAGAGAACTTGGAGAAGTTTTAGTAACAGCTCAGGTATAATAGGTTTTCTGTTAGAATTCCCACTAATGCATTTTCTGTAGAAGCATAGTTCCAAGAGCTAGTTAACTTTTGGTATCAGATTTGGCAAGTGGAGAGGTTTCTTTGTTTTGTTTTTTTGGGTAGTACAGAATCAAGTGTTCCCGTTTCACCTTAGAAACTTAAGGGAAAATGTAACTTTACTCTTTTATCTGCATTGCCAAGTAGAGTGGGGGAAACACTCAGAGGGAAGCAAAGCGTTGCGCCCTGCCCCGAAGCCAGTGCTTCTCCACGGCCACTGTAGTGGTGAATTCTCTGCAGACTTGACTGCAGCCCGGAGTAGGATGTGTGTTTCAGTACAAGCTGGGCAAGGCGTTTTCATGTTGCATTTTAATAAACAGATGAAGGAAATTTCCAAGTTTCTGTAAATCAATTGATGCTATTGGTCAGTGGCAGGTTTTGTGAAAACATTGCTATCACAATTTAGATGGTAACATTTCTTTCTGTGTTAATTTTGTTAATTTGAATGTGTTCTTTGAGATTGCAATGGTTATTTTGAATTATTCCAGGTAGATTACTGTAGACAAGAGCTCAGTGGTAGATTTTTTTTTGTGAATGGGTGAAGTCATCACTTAAGGTGGAGGAAATGCTGAGGTTGATAATTGCTACTTACTTGATTTTTTTCTAGGTAGCTACAGAGACTTATATTAA